TTTATGTTAACGGATTATAGAACATTTCTAACGTGAAGATATATTGACAAAACACTAAAAAATGTTCACTGCAAATCAAAAATAGTTTTTTCCTAAATCAAACAACGTTGCTTAAATCAAAATTGAGTTACGCTGCCATAGATGATTTTCAGCCATTGTTGTGAATTTTGAGATTTCAGATTTTATCACTCACAATATTTTAGTAGTTATACTTATTTTGTGAATATGCAAATTTTTCCAAAAAAAAACATTAAATATTTTTTTAATAAAACACTATTTTAATGAAATAACCTCAAATTAATAATAATTGCAGAATTAAATTGAATATAAGTATTTACACTTAAACATTTCAATAAGTGAAGACCGAAACGAGATAAAAAATATCAATAAATACATTATAAATAATTTTAAAAAAATTAAATAAAATTAAATAATTTTATAATAATTCTTGTATTTAATTATTCGTTCGCACATTTTTCTGGAGTTTTTGTTACTTTTACTATAAAAGTTTTTTATTAACAATTTTACTTGCCGTGTTTATATTAGAACGAAATCACAAACCAGCTGTAGAATAATTGAATTAATTATATTTTTATTTTAATTGTTAAATTTCAATACTATTCTGTTCGTAGAGGCATTACTTATTCCATGATTTGTTCTTTCTTATGTATAGAACCTAATCTAGGAATGTAATGCTGAGAAAGTCATGCTAATGTTACTCCACTAGTCGCACGGGCGAGACCAATATTTTGTGAATATAAGTTGTAATTTAACGTCAAATTTTCCAGACGAAAGTGACTATTATATTTTAATAGAAACTTATTATATTTCATAAAGAGGTTTTTCGAACAGTAGTGAACTACAACAACAAAAATCAATTTTTTTTATATCATTATAATTAATAAAAAACAAAAATTTATGAAATTTATATAAGACTGTGACCAAAAAGCATACTGAAATTGTTTATAACTTTGAATATCTTTATTGATAGTTCTAAATCTATTTCAACGTGATCCCAATACAATTATTTTATGCCAATCCTGTAAACACTTGTTAAAGTTGATTTTCGAGATAACTTTCAAAGTGCGCGCTATTTCTATTTTTATCTATTGTTGTATTATCGTGTTGCAAAAGTCAAGAAAAACCAACGTCAGGACTACTTGCTTTGCTCGGCCTTTACTTGATTGATTGTTAATATTCCAATCTTATCTTATCATACGTATTATATTTTAATGATCACCAAACGTGATTGTAGTTTTTTAATGCATAAAATTTCTTTTAAAATCGCTTTAATTAAATGGTCTAATAATATATACTATCCTTGATGTACAAAATTATTATAATTATTTATTACAATATTTTATTATTTCACACTTTGAATCTCGAGACTTCTAAAGAGTATTGGCATACTGCGGTGCTCTTACAAAGCATTCAAATTTTTCATGACGTATCGACTAGCTTAAACTCCTTGCAACTAGGTACCTAAGCAATAATGTTAGACTTATATGTTAATAGACTATAATTGACTATATAGTCTAACAATAATGGACCACGCAGTAGCTATTATAGCTTCTGTGTAATTGTTTGTACTCATGCTGCAGCTATGGAAGAATTAAAACACATATATGTCACCATCCTCGCCATTTCTTGACTAACACATGTTTCAAGATATCTTATGCGGAATCATACCTACTGAATGCCTCATTAAAATCATCGATCAATCATCGATTGTTACGAATAAATTTCCATCTTTTCTATCAAATAGATAGACTATTCAAATATTTTTAAAAAAGTTTTGTTTGATATAAAGAAAAATTTGTTAAAAGTATTTTTATATTTATTTGCGTTTCTCTAAAAATAATCATTTTTTATTAACCTTTTGAAATCCCAACTTTTCAACTTTAAACCATTGCTACCACAAACGCAAAGGTGTGTGAAAAAAATGGATTATATATTTTAGCTAACCTTACACTTAGAAAAATAATTGTTTTAATTTAACAATAAGACATTTTACTAAATCTAAAATTAAAATATTCTTATTTGACCCATCATGTTGGTTCAACCATACCACACGTTGGTTTCCATATCTTCTTTAACACAAAAACTAATATTTTTCTAACAATCTGATCATGTCTGTTTAACTAGTATGCGGTTGCAATATATTTTTCTGACTGTACTATAAAACCGAATTAACCTAAAACCATTGAAAAATCAAAAAACCGAAAAAATGTTCATTTTTATTGAACGTTATAATAAATTACAATTTTTTTGTACATAACTTTATGATGCATTAACAACTTTATAAATTTTTGAATCTATCATAAGCAAATAGGATTTTACAATTATCAACCAAACTAAACCTAAATACTTTCCCTGAAAACTTGATGTATCGAATGCAGTACTTGCTGGAAAATAAGAGCTAATCAAGTCCAATGAAGTTTGTTCATATTTAAACCTATGTAAACTTTTGAGAGTTTGGCAAGAGAAAGTTTGGCTGGATTGGTCACACCTTGCGAAAGCCGTCAAGTACAATTTGTTTTCAAGCCCTTACGTATAATCCGCAAGACAGTAGAAGAATAGGAAGGCTTAAGATTATCTGGCGCAGATCTACACTAAACGAAATTAACTGCCAATCCACACATCTTGGCAGAACATACATCAATATTGTTGAGCGCAGAGAAGTGTCAATAAGAAACCTAAGATGGAGGCAATTTGTAGATATCTTATGCCAAGTAGAGGGGCAGCTTGGTTCATGTGACCCCAAGTAAGGCTTAATATAAAAATAAAAAAAAATAAACACTTTTTCTAAATAATCAAGCATTTAAGTAAATCATTTTTAACGTTTTTAACAATTAATGTAGTTTTTCTTTTTAATCAAACAATTCATGAAAGAAATCAATGTTGAATATTTTAGGTATATAGAAAAATTCGACTTGTTATCAATATATTTCAAGAATTAGAGAAGTTCAGATTTTAAAATTAAAAGAGACAACTACTTTTTTTCAGCAAACTTTATACCGTAACATTTAAATTTCTATCCTTGTGGTTTAATCTCTTATACAATGATATTGCATATTCAATTCACTGTTTTTTTAAATTATGTGATTTTTTAAAAAATTTACTTTTTATCCCTCATAGGGTATAATAATCAATATGTAAGATAGTTTTCTGCTCTCTAACTTGAAAACATGAAATTATAGTAAAAAATCTTTCATTAAGCTAATAACACCATACAAAATCATATTTTAGTATGACTTTATTAACTAGTTTCAATACTTCGCAGTTAATACCATCACTTTTCTAACTTAAAAGTTAAAAGAGAAATTAAATTATTTTTTTTTTTTTCATTTACTTTGTTTCTTTTGAAATTTTGCAATCTTAAAATTTTTTCTATGACTTTTGTTTATAAAATCTTAAACGATTTTTGTGCTTAACTTTTTTAGCCATAAAGTCGTCGTAAAATTGTTTTTTCCTGTTTGGTTTATAGATATTCATTGTCCATATATACTATTCATGCCACTACACTTCAATAGTCTAAACTTCTAAACTTTCCATAAGTAAAAATAAACAAACTCAGCTCTTCATACTCGTGCGTCGTACGCAACTCAACGCTGGAATTCTTATAAACTCAAACACAGCCGCAGAGCAAACACACACAGACGAAAACATTTCGAGACCAAACTACGTACAACTCATGCCATTTCCGTTTCCGCAAACAATGACAGACAACAATGATGGCAACTCTCAAAGTGAAAGAAGTGTAAAGCCACAGTGAAAAGCAAATGGACAAGAGAATTTAATAAAAAAAAAAGAAAAAAAAATTACGCCAACTTTCGAAAAAAGTTATTTTTACTACTTTTAAAGAAATCATTCTTTTTGTGGACCTACACTAAGTTTTATTGTACTTACTGGCAGCTGGAGTGCGGCAACGTATATACTCATAAAAAGCAAATAAAGTCAATGTTGCTGCATAAGAATCTTATATAAATATATTTAAAAATAATACAAAATAAAAAAAATAAATAAAAATAATATATATAACAAAGAGAAGAGTAGACTAAGCGTATGAAAAAAATATCTCACACAGTTTAAAAAATAAAAGTTTTTGTAAGCTAAAGTTACTTTTCATTCTTAACAATTTTTCAGTCGAATATTACGTTTTAATGCTTTTGTAAGTTGCATTTCGCCGCCTTGCATCAGCTCCAGAAACTACAGTTTACATTTGAGTAGCTACATTGCGAAAATAGAAAAATATTTGCTTAATACTAAATAAAAAGTGCTTGAAAGTAGCACACACAGTTTGAACAGTTCTACCGATATATTGTCCACGATTTTTAAATAAAATTAAGTTGGATTTAAGTAAACTGCAAGCAGATAGTATGCCACATACAACAGCACGAAGTTGGAAATGTGTTGCTGTAAGTAGCTGCATAACTGTCACACTTCAATGCACTTAAGGACATAAAAACGTATGGACACGCTGCGATATTACGTATGCCATTAGGAGTACGTAACTTGCTTGCATTTCCGTTAATATTTATAAAGTGGAAATGCGAAAACTTACTATTTGTTAGATGCTGCTTGCTTTTTGTAATAACTAAGATGTTTGTTCCATGCAGTATATTTGCCATCAGCGCAGGTAGAAGAGTTCAGGTTATTATTTTTCGTAACGCAAAAATTAGATTCCTTTCAAGTTGATGCTATGCGCTTGAATGTCGTTAGTTGTATTTTATTCTCAAGTGAAATAGTTTTTCTTACTATCTTCTAATAACAACTAAAGTCGACAGACAACAAAAGCACAAACTTTTCAACAGGCACGTTAAGGGACAAATACTATATTTGTGCTTTCATTTTATGAAGCTAATTGTGTCAAACTGCCACTTAGTAAATATAGAATAGTAACACATTGAAATATTTTATATATGTTTATCATAGTCAGGTTTAGTCATAGTTATAAACACAGTCAACAGTTTATCATGCTTTTTATATTGGTATAATATCTATATTATTGTTAAGGGATGTGGCACAACGACCATCAGGTCTATTGTGTTCATAATATCTATATAAAAAATACAATTGCGAAAATAATGAATATTACAAAAAAGCATATAAAACATATACGATCCACAGCAGTTGCCAGTAAAATCCAATCAAATTGAATTGAATGAACTAAAGGTGTAGTTGAATGAATTATGCCCACGTAATCGGCTTCCTGATTTTTATTTATATGATCGCCCAATTCTTCAGTATCGCTATTAACCATCGTTTCTGTATTCACCTCTAGAGTAAATTTTGATAACAGCAACATTTGACTCAATGTACCATCCAGAGCATTTTTTATAAAAGTCGGCAAACGTCTTTCATGTTTTGCTGTTGACATATAAAGAACTACAGCTGAAATTATAGTTGACAAACTGAGCAACAGTAGAGAATTGCTATAAAATATCACTACAAAATCAATCAGTTTTCCATAAAAAATTTCTATAGTTTATAAAAACTTACCTATCAATGGAGTATTCCCGGCCATTAATGGTAAAAATTGTACAAAATACATTAAAAATATTGCAATCACAATTATCAGTAGGCCATTTAATAAGAACTTTTCTCCCATTTGAGGTGGCAGCCAAAATGTTGAGAGTGCCAATAAAACGTTACAGAATGCTGGTATACAAATAACAGCTGCATACATCGTGGAACGACGCCTTAACTCAAAGTCAATCTGTACATAACTATTGTAATTTGAATGATGTGATTCTGCTTTAGTCGAAACAATTTCCCATTCAATAGATTTTACTACATCGTCAGAATCTATGCCATCTGGACTTGACAAAATATGTCGATCAATAAGAGTCTGCGTCCAGGACCCAATTTTTAGTGTGCATTTTTGTGTATCATATGGCCACATTTTAAAATTTAAATAACAATACGCCGTATAGATAACCGGTGGAACCCACAATATTTCGCCGTCATAATCTAGTAAGACTTGTGTATCGCCGACATAATCGCTATTATCGTCAGCACTATTGAAAAGCATTATTTCAGGTTTCCAAACAGTAGAGGGCTTCAAATGTAGTTGTATTATGTTATCGTAAACCTCCTTATCCCATGTGCATTTATCATCCATCCAGTTCTGTTAATTACAATTAAATTCATTTAATTATTAGTTAGAGATATGATTATAGGCTAACAAAAATTCCTAATTTATGAAGTTATCAATCTGGAACTAATCAAGTCTTAAATCTTTAATTTATGTACAAATTTTTGAAGTATTGTCTTGTATGATCTTTATATTTGATACTCTTATTAACTTTCATATGGTTCGTCCTTAGGACATAAGTCCAAATTTTGTTTATATATTACTATTAAAAAATAAAAATACTATGGTATCTAGCATATTCTTAAATAATATCTACCGCATTATATATTAGGAAACAACACAATATTTAACAAAATATAAACAGGTAACAGACCAGTTGACTATTTATATTTACACAGGCGATGTAAAGGGACAAATACAGAATACGAAAATGCTAGAACAAGAATTGTCCAGTAACGGCGGATAAATAATTATATTACCTTTATATGTATCATTTATACAGAATTGTATAAAAGACGAACTGAAAACCAAACCGGCATTTGTTGCCAGATTATCAAAGTATGCACATTTTTCCAAACTGTGAGGTTTATTGCGATAACCATAATTATATTCAAACCTCCACCAACCTCCTACAGAATTAATTGTAGTGTTTAAGTCAGATTCTCAAAAAAAGCTCTATCCAAGAATATAGTTCCAGTGTTCATTGTGAATCCAAAAATTTAGTCTTAAGCGTCAGAGACTGTGCATTATGGGAATTTAAACCGTGGTGTTCGTTGCGACAGCACTGTTCTAAAGACCCAAAGTAGCACATTAAAAATAGAGTCTTGGTGTTCATCCCCTAGAGTCCCATAGATTCTCTAAATAAATAATTTTTAGATTACCAACTGTTTAGGTCTCTACGAAATTTTGTAGAGAAAGCCCTAGCATGATAAAGAAAAATGGTAAAAATTTGATTTTGTTCAGAAAAGATCAGTATAACATGAAATATACTATGGAGAACACAATAAATTATATTTGCTTTAGTAAAAGTCAATCTAAATGTCATTGGCGAAGTAGCAACAAATATATATCATTTATCAGGAAATATAATATGGAAAAAATTTCAAAATTATAAAACACAGAAGTCTTGGCTTGGTTTTTATTAGAAAACTGGCTTATATGGTAAAATGAATTATATAAGTTAATATAATTATACAAATTATAAAATAAAAAATAAACTTTTGTAAAGATTTTATAAACAACTTAAAACACCATTTTTGCATAATAATGAATTTTCTAAAAATTAATCCTTTTCTTTTAATAAACAAGTGATGCAATGAGAAAAAATAAAGGGTAATATTGTCAATATTATACATGAAAACTATCTATTTGGGGAGATATTTACAACTGTCCAGTTTAAGAAAAGGAATTGGATTCAGCAAACTAAAACACAGTGGAAATTTTATAGTTCATTATTTCTTTATTCTTTATTAAAATAATAAATGCACTTTAATTCATGTTAGAAAAAAAGTTTGTAAAAGTTTTTGTATTTAACATATTTTATATATAAATATGTAATATTTTAGGAAGTTATTTTTCTTCTATAAAATTGCGAAAATATGGCATGTACATCTTCTACACTGACCGCTTCACTTACTATAGTAAATAAAACTATATATGCAAAGAGTTATATTCTTATGCTTTTTAAATAACAAATATAATTGCTAATAAAATAAATATTAAACAATAGCAAATAAAAAATGAGCGATCCACAGCAGTTGCAAATAAAATCCAATCATATTGTATCGAACGAGATGAAGACTCAGCTGTAGTAATAATACTCACAGGATTTGGTATATCGACATCTTGATTTACAAAGATATGATCATCTAACTCTTTTCTTTCAGTTTTCATAATCGTTACTGTATTCGTGCCTAATGTAAAATTTGGTAACAACAATACTTGTCTGATAGTGCCATCCATTAATTTTTTTATACCAACTGGCAAACGTATCTCATGCTTCGATGTCGATAGATAAAGGACTATAGTTGAAATTATAGTTGAAAAAGTAACCATCAGTAAAGAACTGATATAAAACATCACTAAAATTGTAGAAATTTATAATTAATAGTAGTTTGCTTAAACAGATCATAGCTTACCTATCAATGGTGTGCTCTCGGCCATAACTGGTAAAAGTTGTGCAAAATACATTAAAAAGATTGCAATCACGATTATAACCAGGCCATTTAACAAGATCTTTTCTCCCATTTGTGATGGAAGCCAAAATGTTGAGAGTGCCAATAAAACAATACAGGATGCTGGGATAAAAATAACAGCTGCATACATTGTTGAACGACGCTGTAAAGTAAACATCATCTCTAAATGATTATCTGTGTTATGAAATTTCCATTTGCTTGAAACAATTTCCCATTCAATAGATTGTATTAAATCTTCATATTGTATAGCCTTGGTACTCGTACCGGAGTATGGATCAATAACTGTTTGTATCCATGTACCTATTAGTAGTGTGCATTTTTGTAAATCATATGGCCACAATTTGAAATTCAAATGGCAAAAAACAGTATAAGTAACTGGCGGTACCCACAAACAGCTGCCGTCACTATAAATCATTACTTGGGTGCTACCCATATGATTACTACTATCGCCGGCAGCGTTAAAGAGTACTATACTCGGTGTCCAGATACTCGTTGATCTCACATGAATTCGAGTTATATTGCCATAGTCCAACTCATTCCACGTGCGATTTTCATCTTTCCAGGTCTGGAAAAATAGAATATTTAGTATTAATGATAAGATTTAATGATATATTCATAATACCGGTATTAAAGCTGGAGCTATCTTCTGATATGATCACACAAACTTATTTAAGATAAATATTTCAAAACAAATAAAAATATTACCAATAATTTTACTATATCTTGTATATTCTCCACACAGATTAAAGTATTACAAAATTATTTCATTATCTGTAACCTATTGAATTTGTTCAAATATAGCGACAAATACTTTTTAGTTTGGACGGCACGCATAATGGTCAATCCATATTATGCATTTTTTAAATTGATCAATCTGTATTGATGTTAAGAGCGGGAGCAAATGTTTTTCGATTATCTCAAACACTATTAGACCAGTCTACTATCAGTTAGATAGTTGCATTATATAGTTATGCAAATATCGTTACTACTAATACAAAAACAAAGACTAAAATTTGAAAAAAAAATCTTGCTTATATTAAATTTAACTTCAGCAACATTTTATCTATCTATCATCTATAGAGGTGTTGATAAATTAAATGCTTTGTTTTCAATAAGATGTGTCTTACATTTTTATGAAGGAAACACAACGCAGCATTTAAAATATTTGTTACTTTCCTAGAAAAAATTTCGAACCTTACTTGAACATATTGATTTTGTACCTTTATTGATAAACCTAACATTATGTTCTAGTAGCACAATAGATCCAACAGTCATAGTGCCGCGTCCCATATCAATAATAACATTATATTCTTTAGACAAAATTATCTAATTTATGTTACTTAATGATATTTAGACTATTGATAAACCTAGAAGTACTTTTTGAATCAAAACTCCGGAGTTCATTCGTGTTAATTAAAAAAGATAGATATTTTGAGACCATTTCGTAACAATTTCAGAGAATACATGAATTATAGACTTAATTTCAAATAACTGTGTCTCTGCTCTTTACGTGAGACAGAGCAAATCATATTGAATCATTTACTAATGCATGCAAAATATTCATTCGAATAGAAACAAGTTTTAGTTATATGTGAATTAAATGTATAAATTTATAAAAACGTATTTTCACAAAAGAACTATCAACTATAACTATCAATATCAAGAATTAAGAATATCATGCATACTAATTTCGTTAAGCGTATATGAACTTGTGATATTTTGTAAGTTTTTACTTTCAGTTTGTTAAGGAAATTGTGTTGAATTATCAGTTAGAAAACAAAATGTTTAATAAATAAAAATATATATTTAATATGCCAGAAAGTATATTTTTTTAATTTTATACACCATATTGAACAGCAAGTGCAATAAATGTTATGCAATAGAAGAGGAAAAATATGCGATCCACAGCAGTTGCCAGTAAAATCCAATCAAATTGTATTGAACGCGCTGAAGGAGCAGCTGGAGCATTTATGCCCAATGGATCTGGCGTATCAGTATCCCGATTTTCATAAATATGCTCGGCCAATTCTTTTGTGTCACTATTCGTCATTGTTTGTGCATTTGGCTCTAGAGTAAAAGTTGACAACATCAGTATTCGACCCAAAGCGCCATTTAGTGCATTTTTAATAAAAGTCGGTAAACGTCTTTTATGTTTCGCTGTCGATAGATAAAGGACTATAGTTGAAATTATAGTTGACAAACTCAGCATCAGTAGAGAACTGCTATAAAACAATACTACGAAATAAAAGGGTTTTATTAATAACAGATTACTATAGTCTGTGCAAACATACCTATTAGTGGAGTATTCTCGGCCATAACTGGTAAAAGTTGTGCAAAATACATTAAAAAGATTGCAATCACGATTATCACCAAGCCATTTAACAAGATCTTTTCTCCCATTTGTGGTGGCAGCCAAAATGTTGAGAGTGCTAATAAAACAATACATGATGCTGGGGTAAAAATAACAGCTGCATACATCGTGGAACGACGTTTTAAATTAAATATAAACTGTACGTAGTTATAGTAATCTGCCCGGTGAAATTCTACTTTGCTCGAAACAATCTCCCATTCAATAGATTGTACTAATTCATCGTATTCTATAGCCTCTGAGTGCTTCAAGTAACGCTGATCAATAACTGTTTGTGTCCACGAACCAATTTTTAATGTGCATTTTTGCGAATCATATGGCCACATTCTTAAATTTAAATAACAATACGCCGTATAGGCAACCGGTGGCACCCACAGTATGCTTCCGTCATGGCTGAGTATAAGTTGTGTATCGCCCAAATAGTTACTATTTTCGCCAGCACTATTAAAAAGCATTATTTCGGGTTTCCACACTTCTGTGGGCCTCAAATGCATTTGAGTTATGTTGTCATTATCCCGCACATTCCATGAGCGTTTGTCATCCATCCAACGCTAAATATCATAAAAAAATCAATTAAGTAGGGCATGCATAAAATATAACATAAGTTCTTAATACAATAAGAGATTTCAAATAAACTTTATAATCGAATTCAAAAGATGTAAGCATACTATAAATATAAAAAAGTAAAGTATATAGAAATGATACATGCAAATACATGAGTTGAGCAAAAAAGTATTTGGAGTTTTTTTATTTAATCGATTTTAAAGTGCAAAAATTTTGACAATCAGTTTCATTATGTTTCTAGTTTAATATAGGACTCATAAGTTTAGAATTGACAAATATTTTATTGATATTAGTACTTCAAGTTTTAGAATTTGAATAGAATAAATATAAAAATACCTGAAATTTCTGAAAAAATTAATGTATTTTAGATAAAAATACGACAAAAATGAGTTAGAAAAATGTGTGCTATTTGTATTAAAAATATTCTGTAGCAACCAACTTCCAATATATAGTTCGCTTACTTTCGTTATGGAAACTTCCACTTCTAAATAAGTAAAGTATTGCTAGATACCTGAAGATAAACAACAATATTGTTAAAATATTTACATAGAGCTGTTTACGAAAACTAAAATCAAAACTTTTTAATGCTTTTAACAAAGCATAAACTTTGTTAAATTAAAACTTGATGGACAGTATTTCTATCTACGTGATTTATCAAGATGGAATTAAATTGAGTAATTATTGATTGATGAAAAGTATTCAAAGAATATCAATTTTTTAAGCTCTAATCGGCTTTTCAAATGATTTGATTCTACTGCTAATATGAAGAATAAGACACTGAAAGAAAACAGACTCGATTTAATCAAGAGTAGAGTGATTGCTGTTCATAATGACAACACAAGCCCACTAACATCCAAAAAGAATTGAGAGGCTTTGCTTTTAAAGTTTTTATGCTTCCTGACATTGCATCATCAGTTTTTCTTTTGTTGCGATCTTTCAAATTTTCTTTTGTTAGCGAAGAATTTATCTTTAAAAAGCATTGTGAAAAGCATCTTCTAGAGCTTCACAACCAGGAAAAAATGGTTTTAGCCGAAAAATAACAATAAAGTCAAAATAAATATGCAATATCAACATGACTTAATCATATTTTTTTTAAATTTAAAAATTTGTTTTAAAATTTACATAAGAAAGAACAAATCATGCAACAAATAATGCCTCTACGAACAGAATAGTATTGACATTTAACAGCTAAAAATAAAAATATAATTAACTAATTAATTTAATTATTCTACAGCTGGTTTATGACTTCGTTCTAATATAAACATAGCAACTAAAATTGTTAATAGAATCTTTCATAGCAAAAGTAACAAAACTCCAGAAAAATATACGAACAAAAAAGTCAAGTACGGTTTTGGATCAGTTGGTTAAGGTGCGTTGATTCTGAGCTTCACATTTGACAGGACCCGAGTTCGATTCCTGGTCTTTGCAGTCTCAAAAAATTATTTACGAATAATTAAATACAAAAATTATTTCCAAAAGCACTGCTTATGGGTATTTGGCAATACTCGAAACAGCTGTATGGTTAGCGAAAAATTAAATTAATTAAAATAATATAAAAAATAAAATTTTTGTTGTTGTAGTTCACTACTGTTCGAAAAACCTCTTTAAAATTTATTGTTAAAAAAAATTTCATACTTTTTTACCCAATCCAATGAGAAATATAAAACTTCTATATATATAAAATTCTCAAATATGTTTAAGTGATATGATGAGATTATATCATGCACTGCGTTTATATCAAAAGTATTGTATTCTATAGTTGATTCAATTATGTTTCTTTAACCTTATCGAGTCAAGATATTTAATTTTCGCTCTGATAGATAAACTTATATTAATTATATACTATTTAGCCACAAAGCATTAAAATCTATATCGTTATACTTATTCATATAAGATCACAATCAAATAATATCTGTAATAATGAAAGTACTATTTCATTTGACATATAAAATTACTTTAACTTGATAAAGTGATTCCAAAAGGTTTCGAGTAACTGGTGTTTTAAAATTCTGTGTGATAATTTGTAACTTTTTATAAAAGAAATTTTTTTAAATTATTGTATTGAATCAAATGCTTTTTGCTTCCAATACATAGTTTTGAGAAAAGATTTCTGCTTTTTATAATAAATTTTATTAAGGTTATAGCCTTAATCTTAACATAGTTTAAAATTAATTATTATTTAATTTAATATCACTTAAATATTGAAAAAAGTTTTTATTGTATAATATTGAAATTGGTTTTTAATTTATTTTAATTTAATGGACTGTTAACTGCTATCATATTTAAATTGAAAGTGATATGTGAGTTCTAGTTAGTTAGTTAGTTATATTTAATAATAACAACATATATATATATAAATATATAACACTTTATAATATATTAAAGTATATCTATTTATAAAAAATGTTTTTTGTAAACTATTTAAGTGCCATCTAGTACTTAATATATGAATAGTCAAGTTGACTGCAGTAGACCAAGTTCCTCAAAGAAGAAAGCCCCAACATTACATTTCTGTACAGCATCCAAACTACCACTTTATTTTTTAACATAATTATAATATTTGCAAAGCAATATAATATCAATGTAGAAATAAAACTTTGTTAAACAGATGCTCTCGAAAATGAACATACTCTTCAACCATGCAAAATAATTTTTCCGCCTCACCGGAAAAATTTAACAGCCCTAATTATATTTATTTAAGATAGCTCTCAAAGTAAATTTCTTATATTTTTTTACGCCGTCAAAACTGAATGAATTTTATTCATATTGTTTATATCCTCAAATAGTCCTTGGTGAAGATCATTTTAAAAAACAGATAATAATGTTGGAAAAACTAATCGGATAAAACCTCTAAGTTAAATAGCATATATTATGGTTAGACGTATAAAAAATCAGTTTTGTTTGAAATTATTTCTTATTTATTATTACAATAAATTTTTCATCTTCAAATTCCACTTTTTAAAAAATTGGTACATATGTAGGGGAAACTAATCGGAAAGAACTAAAGCCTCTAAGGCAAAAAATAGTTGGACGGACATAAAATTAGTTTGGTTTTCATTTATCATTATTTTTTACTTATTATTATAATAAATTCACAATCCTACAATAAATTTTATTCAAAACCTAGTTAAGATCTTTATAAACACATTATGTCTACGTAGTTCTGTTACATCCTACTTTAATTTGATCTTGTGCAAAAACCACGTCGTTTAGTATTATATATGTATTTAGTAATAATCATTTTAACTTACAATCCTTGCCCATCCATGCAAAGTCATCTTTCCGTTGATTTCATCAATGTCGATGTAATTAACAGTCATACCTAATGTTATATTTGTTGGTGCACCTCGGTATGTTGGATGTAAAAATTTGTCATAATTCATAAATAATTGCATACGTAATTGATCCAAAGTTGTATAATTCCATGGTCGAACTGAGTCTTCAGCTTTTTCATGTAAAAGTATAAAAACAATGTCGTTATTATATATTTTAATTCGTACGTATTAAAATAAAACTGTATATATTTTAATATATTAGTATTTATCCTTACATTATTTGTGTTTAAATTAGATTTACAATATTTATATTAATAGTTTCACAACTTGCACAGCTTCTTATATTTAGCAACCGTATTAGTTATTAAATATAACAACAAATGAACTAATAAATCTTATCATTCTTTATATATATAAAGCATTTATTATATGAAGGATGAAAGTTGCCAAAATAATAACTACGTATTTAAATAAAATTTAGACAATGTTTTACTGGTGCTTTATTTGAAAATAATTGAAATATAAATTTCTTTTTCGGTTCCTACTCATATTAATGATTTCGAAACCTTAATAGTTTATTAAATATCGAAACCAATTTTCTAAAAACTAAAACAGTTTCTAATTTATCATTTTACTGGTTACCAACTGAATGAACTAAATCTACCCACTAATTCCAATTCTCTAACAATGTTGTGATAATTTTTCCAGCATTGTCATCAAGAGTTTTCAATTTAATGAAAACATCGCGAGGACATTAATATTAACAAACATTTTCTTTAAAAAATAAATCATTTTAAACAATCATAATAAAATTTTTTCAAATTACATTTCTTTAAATACGTATGAGTCTTTTAAGCCATGATAAAAATTTTAATATACGACAGGAACTTGATAAAGATATATATAGACTGCTCATGTACAACCGGGTATTGTAAATAATTTATAATACGGTTACTTAAACTATTGTGGTGAATTGGAGGGTCCAACCACATAATTTATTCAAATGCGTTATGGTCAAAATTTTTAACAAATCGGTACCATTGTCTACTTACATTATTGACCGTATAGTACAAGACGATCATTTTTGTTATTGGGGCAAATTTTAGAATGAATTGGTGATTAGCAAATTTTTGGTTTCGTTTCAATAACTACATGAATGTAGAAGTAGACATGAATGGCGTAGTAGATATTTTATTGGAAGAATATTTCTTAAGCAATGCTTAAAATTGTACAAAATTATATTTTTTAGTAAAAGAATAAGATATGTGAATTCTAATTCTGCTTCTACACTGGCTAGATCTTGCCAAGGTTTTTGCACATAATCTCACTTTTTTACTAACACATACGGATTTTTGTTTGCCAACAAAATCTTATCAGCAGATTAATACTGTGGGAAAAAATGATATATTTTGACTTAAACGATACTAAAAATGCAAATATTACTTACTGTTAGAAAATAAACAGCTTTTCTTTTTAGTTTAAAATAACTTTATTTTACGTGAGTTTTTGTTCAACCTTATATTAATATTATAAAATATTTAACTATGTGATATTTAGCTTTGTTCTTAGCAAACTTATTCCATATTTTTACTCATACGGCAGTGCTCAATATTTTATTAGTGATACGTTCCTTTAACTAGTACTGAAATTACAAGAACATATGGACAATTTCACTACTCCAGGAGGTTAATGAAGTTATTTAGAGTAAAATGGATCAATACAATAACCAATACGACCTGTTAATGGAGCTATCTAAATCTTATCACAATATGTAATAGTATAGTTCATTTATTTTACCGTCATCGCACCCTTTATGCTTAGATACTACAAGCAATAAACATACAAACGTGGTTATCGAACAGATCAATGATCTTTCACTGAATTAAAAGGACGTTAGAGCTAAATTTGTTGCTTCTTAATCAAAAATTTTAGAAATTCGTTGGTTAAAACAAAGTAGATCTATACTTAGACTGTAGAGTGTAAAAATTACTTAATAGTTACAATAAAACCATTTAAATTGCAATTAAGCAAAGTTCAGTGCAGTTCTTAAGAGTAAAGGTATAAGGCGAGTAATACTATTCGTGCTATGGAGTTTTATACATAATAACTTTTGATTAAAATATTTTTCAAATAAAAATACAATCATTAAATTTTATTTTCTCTTACTGTAATATTAGTTATTTATTTTTATAATGATAAACTAAAAATAATCTTCTATTATAGGAAAGTTGATCAAACGATTTATATGTGTGAATGTATATAATCCTTAACATGGTAACTTGATGAAATTTTGATCACTCCAAATTAATTCTAGTATAAAATTATCTAACTTTGCTTTTATTAAAATAGCTATAATTTCGTATAAGATATAAAATTCTCATTATTATTACTGAAGAACAAAAACTGAAAACGTTTCAAATTTAGAAAATATACAAATCCTGACTTACCACTTTGGCAATGAAAAATTCTATCAGACTCAGCACCTACATTTACAAATTTGCATCCGATGAGACTTATTTACTACATAACAAACAACATTTTTACTAATTTTAAAGTAACAAATTCAGTTCCATATCGTAATTTCTCAATATATTTATTTAATATTTAATATTTGCATTCTACTGGATGTTATTTTACTAAAAAAATGTGTTTAATATATTATAATTTTTCTGAAAACAATAAAATAGGATGAGAATTTCTTATAATCAACATATACACACGAAATATTTAATCCAGCAAACTAAAAAATCCTCAACATTAATTAATACATTAAATGGGGTTGATATTAAAAATGTCTTCAATCCAAAGTAGAACTACTCACTTATATATATTTTTTATTTTAAATGCAATTTATAAAATAAAGTGCTAGCAAACTGCACTAAATAAAAATAATATAGAAACTATGAAAAAAAGGTATCTAACTGCACTAATAATTTCGGGCTAACATGAGAAAATGCGCTGTAGAAAACTTTTTTATAAAGTTTATGAATTTTACTAAATCGTAGACTAAATTCGAAATAAACTGAATATAGAAGCTCAGAACACAATTATCCAACAATGACTGCAGTGTCGGACAGCTAATGCTCGAGCCCGTATATATACAACAGCTTAGTTCTTAGGTTGTTTTTTAATTCATTCCATTAAATATATTCGTGAAAGTTGTTTTTACAACGTTAAGCAAACTTTTATTTTCAACTTTTATTATGAGAATCCTTATATATATATTCCTATTAAAAAGTAGGAAACTAACTATTCTTAGCCAGACTGAGCATTTAATATTATATTGAAGTAATAGGCCCTAAAAGTTTGATTTTACTATGCTCCTGTATTCTTGTAGGTAAAGTAAATAATGCGCAATTTCTGAAAACTAATGATATTTCATAATTGGTAGTTTCATTTATCAAAACAATAGTTTAGCAAGCGCAATACCTTATAATTAAGAAATTTATTCATATTAAATTAGTTAAATTTCATTATAAAAGAGTTGGAATTTGTAAATCTGACCATAGTCAGTTAAAAAGTTTTTGGAGAAAATATATTATCATTTAATTTTGTGTGTTAAAAGTTTACTTGAAGATTGTAGTCATGTCAGTAAAACAATTTGAAGATTTTCTCAAGTTGGCAAATTTTTTTTACAAAACAGTTGGCATGAAGCCCTATGACAAGCCAGGTTCTACTAAACAAGAAACTTATTTGAATAATCTATTGTTTATAGTAGGAATAATAAATATAAATTTAATCCAGTTGGGTGAGCTTTACTATGTAATATTGGCATTTAAGCAGGGTGAGCACTTTGTGGAAGCTACTATGGCAATGTCATATTTGGGATTTGCTTCAGTGGGTGAACTTAAACTGATTTATATATGGTCGAAAAAAAATGCTTTAAATGAATTTACACATAAACTAATTAAGATTTTTCCCAAAAATGCCGAAGATCAAAAAAAATACAACTTGTACGCTTACTTACGATTTTGTAATCTGATTACCATAGGATTTTCCGTTCTTTACATGATACTCATATGGACGTACAATCTATTGTCAATTGCAAAATACTTGCTAATTGATCGTTTGCTAAATATACATACCGTAGAGAAAATGCTGCCTTATGTCATGTATTCACCTTGGGACTGGCATGACAATTTTTCATATTATCTATTGTACGCATCCCATTGCGGTGCTGGTTATGTTGCTGCTGCTGGGCAAATATCAGCTGATCTCTTGCTTTGTGGTTTAGCTACCCAAATAATAATGCACTACGATTTTATTGCTAACACACTAGAGAAATATAAGACGAAAACTCGTAATAATGATAGAAACAATGCAATATGTCGCTTACAGGATTTGCACTTTCTGAGTGATATTATAAACTTTCATTCGAAGATACTAAGGTTGGTATATTGCGGTTTTAGATATTTGTAATATGATATTCATTATTTTTCCAGTCTTTCGAATATTATGAATGATATATTCGGTGTACCGTTGCTGATTAATTTTATATCCTCGTCTCTTGTTATCTGTTTCGTGGGATTTCAAATGACAATCGGCGTAGACGCTACCACATTATTCAAACTTTTTCTTTTTCTGGTATCCTCAACTTCTCAAGTATATCTTCTTTGTCATTATGGACAACTGCTCATCGATGCGGTACGTATCGACTAACTTTTGACATAATTTTTTCATTTTAAAATGGTTTCGTCATATGTTGTGCAGAGTGAAAAAGTTGCTTTTGCGGCTTATAGTCTAGATTGGTCTACTGCTGATATTAACTTTCAGAAAATGCTCATTCTATTAGCTCAGCGTGCTCAGCAGCCAGCTTTATTAAAAGCTACAACTTTCGTACATATATCCCGTGATACCATGACGGAAGTAAGTACAAAAACTATCAAACTATTTTAACATAAGTTAATCTAAAACATTTCCAGATAATGCAAATGTCTTACAAATTTTTTGCTTTAATTCGTACAATGTATTCTGAATAATGTATCTAAATGGCAATCAGTTGATTCTACAAAAATAGAACATCTAGTCACGAAAATAAGAGATATATGCACTTAGTTGGACATTGAATAACTACACTTTCACATGAAGACATAAACTTGTTCTTTTAGTAGCAATATATCTGAAGTACACCGCACTTATTAATCTCTAAGTCAACTTTTCATAGTCATATATCTGCATTTGGAAAAAGTTAAAGAAAAACTTATTGTCCAGCTGAAACTTAAGTCTTAATGTCTCTAAAGCAGACAGATCAATACTAAACAATATTAACGACTAGTATTTACCTATATTACTATATACCGACGGATATTTTTCACAAGATATTTTATAGGCTGTCAACTCAAACTACGGAAATATTCGGAAGAATTTTTTTTCAATCAGATGAACCTTTTTCAAACATTATTATATTAATCAAATTTTTGCAAAAATAATATTGTATTTAAATGTCTGCGAATTCAAGTTGATATTATTACCGGCATCTACTGTTTTTAACTTTCCTTATAATTATTTAACATAATGTTTTATCATAATTTTTTAAAAATATTGACCCTGAAAACAGCTTTTAGTATTATCTTTTTCAAATTCATTTTATTCATTCATTTTTATTTTGTTCTCATGAATATACTTAAACGATAAAAAAAACTTTCATTGCAAAATAAGTATTTTTAAGTAAATAAAATTATAGTTTGTACGAGTAAATAAGGATTTTAATTTTGAACTGATAAGGGTTGTTTGTAAATAAAATTAATATGAGCGCCAGTTTTATCAATAAAATTTCTTACTTAATTTTAATATTAATTTTGTTAAATAAAAGAGACCAGTACGTGCAAAAAAACAAATATAATTCGTTATATATGTGATATATATTTATTTAATTATATATATATATATATTTATAATTTGTAACATATTATAGAACTTGTTGTTCGATATGTACACATAACAAAAACATCGACAAGAAATGTGCTCTAAACTTTTAATGTCGATTTTACAAGACATAAGTGACGAAGTTTCGTAACTTATTTGAGTGATGCCAAAATAGATATAGAAAATAGATACATATATACATTAAAAAATATAAGAAATGTTCTTTATATTTAGTTCGCAATAATTTTTTAACAAAACAATGTTGTTATGTCAATCATAAATGTCAATCATAAAAAAACAAAAACTGAACAAAGGTCCAGGAAATAACCTGATAACGCCAAGAATTTTTTAAGAATTCCCAAACTGTTAAAGCGATAAAATTCCTACGAAACTTATATAATGTCATCATCACTCCGTATTTTTTTCCACCTCAATGATAAACTAACACAAATAAACATTGTTATCAAGTCGGTCAAGTTGCTAGAAAACATAAATTCCTTAAGACCGATGAGCCTATTACCGATTCTCTTTAATTTGCTGAAAGTATTTTTTCTTGCATAAATAAAGATCATCGTAAACAAAGAAAACTTAATTCCAGATCATTTATACGAATTCAGTAAACATCACTGTACAATACAAAATATTCATATACTTGTTAACGGAATTCATATATCATTTGAAAATTAAATGTTATACAATTGTATCTAAGCTTTTAATAAAGTTTGATATAGCGGTCTATTATATGAAACGATATTGTGCATAAACTACATAAAAATCGTGCTTTGGATCTCTGCACTTCATCATACAAGAGAGTGTTTAGATCATATAACTTCAAGAAGTGCAAGCAGTTATACTACATGGTAGTATTTTAGGCTCAATAATGTATCTGTTATACACAATCGTCTTACTAACTACCATACGTAAGATGCTATGATTGGTATTTTTGCAGACAATACCGTAGTAATTCCTACAGATACTGAACCACAACTTACAAGTTAGCATTGATAACAAAATCAGGATGAGTCATGAACTGGTCAATGAAACCAAATCAACACAGATTACTTTCACAACAATAAAGAAACTTCTATTCTACAGCTCGCCTTAACGTGCATTGATAACCCAATCAACTAAAGCTAAAAACAAGCAACATGCAACTTGCTACAAAGTTAACCTGACAGCACCATATAATTAGAGAACGTAAAGCATTGTATAGGCTTTCAAAATTTTCCATCGAAATTAAAATAATTAATTATAAAACGATCCTTAAATCGATCTACTGTTCATTTAAAAGTCCTTGGAATTATTTTCAACGCACCCTGGTTTGTTACTAATATAGAGTTACATAAAGAATTTACTATCTACACGGTAAAATATTAGAAAAAAAACCAAAATCTACAAAACACATTTGAAAAACTAATAGAATCCAGCCTACCGGTTTACGTTTACATAGACGCACACCGGTGGATCATGCATGTCATCTTGATCATATATTTATCTATAAGTATTTTCCTCAACTCAACGTCGAAGTTGCACTATTCTTTGTCTTTAATATAAATAAATACAATAATAAAGCAAGAATTGTTTTTTATCACTAAAATATCTCTTTTACGTATTTTAGAAGACAACCAGGAATTATTTCTGTGTATATACTCATATGTATAGTTGGTACTTACATGCCACACGCTGCACCAAAAATATCAAGAAAAATACAAAGAATTTTTTCGGTGACAATGAAAATGCACAATATTGCACACAACCGGAAGTGAACATTTTATCACAAAAACTAAACGAACATAAATATTTACTTAAAAAAAATTAAAAATAATTTAGTTGTTTTTGTCTTGAATTTAATTTCTTGTGTACGCGACAATCATTAATAAAATTATTTATTCCGTTTTGATTTAAAGAAATATCACAACTGCCTTCTCCAAGATCTTCGTTTCAACTGAAGTCGAGATTTGGTCGACCCATTTGGACACGAACCTCAGGCATCTATCAAGATAAATGAGCACATTTTTAAGTAGCAAATGAGCATAAAAATATATTTTTATCTACACTTATTTATCCGACATAACGAGACTAAACTCTTAAGTACTTAAGCCACTTGGCAAATAATACTAAATAACCATTTTAATTAAAATATATCTGTATTTGTTCACTTGGGTGAATTCCATAATTAAGGTCTCATACGATTTTGCTCATATACAGCTATGTATATATCTGAAGATATTTAGTAAAAATAATCTTTTTAGTTCCTTTAAGTTAGATTTAATTTAGCGAATTCTTAATGCATAGTAGTGTGCAGTTATATCTGTGTTGACTTGTAAGAAAAATTGCTGTTACATTGTATGAATAAAGCAACTCTTGATGTATGCAAATTTTTATGAATGAAATTGTATGAAGTGAAGCTTTATAATTTAAGATGATTGCACAAGTGATATATATTTAATTCATTTTCTCACTGCATATACCTACTAAAAAGTAACAAATAAGAGTATTCAAATCAAAAATATTTTTCTTTTAATATTCAATCTAATATTCTGCAAATATTAATTTAATTTAAAGAATACGTAAAATGCGTGTGTGATGTTAGGTTGAGATTTCGTATTTGAATATACAAAAACATTAGTTTATAGTCTTGAATTTCTAAATATGTCTTAAATAATGTCAAAATATAAACGATCTTATAATAAAATAAAATATATGATAATAATAAATTCGCATATAGTAAGATGAGTATTAGACATATTTGTATGTTACATGTGGACTTTTAAGAATGTTATTGTATGTTTAGGTTTAATATATGTATAAATATATATATACATATATATATACGATAATTTTCAATAAACTAAATACACAAAACAAAGATTGTTTCAAAAGCAAATTACTATTAAACGAAATATGACATAAAAATGCTTAGTCTGAAAACTGTGAATCCTTTATACATTAGTTCTTTGATAAAAACTGAACAATCAAAACTCTTGTGTCACTCAAAAATTTAAAAGAGCAATAGAAGAAATATAGAAACACCATTAAGACTGAATAGGGCACCAAATGTCAATATTATGCGACAAATATTGAGGAGGAACCCGTAAGGTTTTTGGCGATTTGATGCTCCGACCATAACTTGGAAGAGAACATTTGACCATGAATTGAGGAATGTAAATTATTAATGAACCAGCATCATTACTTTTGATGTCACACATAGATCATAATATGTCACACATAGATCGAAAATGCTATTGATTATAACATACGTGTAGGTATATATGCATATATAGAATATATATACATATTTCAAAAGATATTAAGTACAAAATATTATAATATAGTATAGTATGTATATTGAATAAACAATTTAAATATATAAATAGATTTGTAAATACTAATATATAACATAACATTAATTTTTAAAATACAACTATAATTTAGGCCAGTATGAATACTTTCGAATTTAACTTAATTTCATTTTTACAAAATTAAGGAAATTTGGCTGTCTGAACATAGTATTAGCAGACAATCGAAAGATTTGCTTAAAGGAACTTTCAGTCTTTCGAAAGACCGCTGCCAGAATCGTCGCTACTCTGACAAAAACTCTGCAAAAATTTTAAGAATAAAACCTTAATTTGCCGTTTTTTAACTGGTTTTGATCTGTTCATTTAAAATATAAATAATAGTCGATGTGGTTATAATGTTTATTATTAGGTAGACCTCAATGCTAGGTACAGACCTCTGTGTAATCATTGAAACCAATTATTAATAAAATTTGTCAGTATGAAAAAACTTTTCTACTTCAGTTTATTAATGTAAAAACTGCAAATAATCTTACTAATCGATGTAGATTTTAATTTTGCGTTTAAATTACCATATTTATAATATTTGATATACCATATCTAAATATACCGTCACATATCATTTACTATTTGCTTTTCAAATTTAGCAATTCCTATTACAGTAAATGTGTACTTAATTCAAAAAAATTGCAACAGAATAATTTTAGCATCCAATCATCTGCCCACCTAAGAGATAGTAGGTAGTAGCTAGGCAAACTTAGTAACAACGCTTTGGCAGTAATAAAAATAAAACATCTTAAGTAGCTCTGGTTATTTACCATAAATTAATTTATACACGAAAATAGCGTCAAATAAGCAAATAAAGAGAAACTTTTCAAGTAAATAATCTCTAATTCCTGCATCTTCTGCTTGTTTATTACATTCTAATTTAATTGAAGATATACATTGTTGATTTAATTTAGACAAGCTAAGCGTGACACAAATCGTCTCTATATAGTAGCTTTTAATATAATAAAAAAGTGCTTATTTGGCTTACTTTCTAGTAAGAATGTGTGACTATACGTTTGATTCGTGTTGAAATGTTTTCCACGAAAAGGTATTTTTATTCTAAATTTAGGAGTACTTTATTTAATGTACTAAAAATAACATTAATTTACTTAATTTGGTATAAAATAGCGACGGAAAATGCCAAAATTCTATTCAAAATAGAAACAATGTAGATAGAGTAATAAAGCTGCTATTTAAAAATTAAAGATGGTTTAACAAAATAGATTAATAATTAAAAAAGGGTGAATGGAAAGATAAAGATGAGATTCACATAAATTAACGAAAGCAAAAAATATTTTTACGTGTTATCAAACATATAATTTTTTTTAATATCTTATAAATATATATTGCAGTTTCTGAAAAAGCTACGCTTTCTTTATATGGTGACAAAGAAACTATATTAAAATTTAGAGGGTTTTCGAATAGCAAAGAAAGAAAGGACAAACACAAAAATTTATTGAATTTTATTAAAATTTGGCTGACCATCCTATCCTATCAAATTTATTAAATTAATTTTTTTTGTATAGGTGTCTACTACTTAATCGTTTCCACTTGTAATTAAAAACTAATTCCAACACCACAACATAAATATTTCTGAAGTAAATACAACCGACAAGATTGACAGTTTATATTTAACTGAATTTTGTTTACATTTCATTATTTAAGATTGCTTAAACTAATGCAAAACATACTAGATTATAACACTTTCTCCGCCCTTAATTTTTGACAAAGTTCAAGTTTTTCTGAAATCGTCGGATTCAAATCGAATTACATCCTTCCGAATACGACCACTTTTTCGAAGTTGAACTACTTCGGTAGAACGTTCTTCACTAGGCATTAATGTTGATTGGCTAGATGAAGGCGGTGTGGCATTGATGAAATTTGGAGCGAATTCAAAAATTGGTTGTGAAGAGAGGTCAGAGCTACTTCTAGTTTTAAGCTGATTAACATGACGTTTGATGTAACCAAAAGATGTGTTCACTCTGTAAACCATTTTACCAAGTTGTTTTACAATAACTCCTTTTATCCATTTTTCCCCTCTTGCGTAGTTTCGAGCGAAGACGGGTTGCTTTAGACTGAATTTCATTTTCCGTTTCGAAGCTTCAAGGTGCTTCCTAGGCGATTCAAACAGTTGACTCAACAAGGTACGAACAGGCCTTCCATGTAAAAGTTCTGCAGGTGATTTACCTTCAGCATTCGGCATTGCACGATATGTTGCAAGATATTTTGATACAGCGAATTTGAGAGACAATCCATCGTCAATGTTTTTCTTAACAGCAGTTTTAAAAGATCTGACGAATCGTTCGGCTAACCCGTTTGAGGCTGGATGAAACGGCGCTGTTGTTATATGTTTGATGCCAAGTTTTGAGCAAAAATGTTTGAATGCTTCAGCTGTAAATTGCGGACCATTGTCACTTACGATGGTTTCTGGTATACCTTCCAGAGAAAATATAGAAGACAATGCTGATACGGTGTCAACCGTTGTTGTTGTAGATAGTTGTACAACGAACGGAAATTGCGAGAAAGCGTCGACACAAATTAGCCACATTGAATTACAAAATGGACCAGCAAAGTCGATATGTACTCTCTCCCAAGGTCGATCAGCTTCAGGCCAGCTTACGTATTCACGTGCGTGAACAGGATTTGCAATTTTGCACACATCACAATTTTCAGTTAATTGTGCGATGTCTTTGTCAATATTAGTCCACCAGACATGTTGTCGAGCTAGCTGTTTCATTCTCGATACTCCCCAACGACCATTATGAAAAAGTTTAAGAACTTTCTGCTTAAGGGAAGCTGGAATGACAACCCGGTTGTACTCCGTCTGGAGGCAAAGCAAATTGTTGTTTAGTATTAAAGCAAAGCGATGATTGAAAAATGATCGAAGATCAGCATCTTGAGGCATTAGTTTTTCAGCCAACCGTTTGTAACGAGAAAATAAAGTCGGCGAAGAATTGGGTCATTTTTGACATGCTGACGAATTATTTCAGTGTCGATAGGTGTGTTAAGTTCATTGATGTTGAAACAGGAGTTTTATATTCACCAACGGGTAAACGAGATAAAGCATCGGCATTTCCATGCTCAGTAGTTTTACGATACCGAACATCATACTGACAAGCCATTAGTATAATAGCCCATCGTTGTAAACGATGTGACGTCATCGATGGCAACTGATGAATTGGATTAAAAATGCTAACAAGAGGTTTGTGGTCAGTAACCAAAGTGAATCTTCTTCCGTATAATTATTGATGGAAACGCTTGACTCCAAAAACGATAGCTAGCCCTTCCTTCTCTGTCGAGAGTTTTAGATGCAAAAGCAATAGGCCTTTCTGTACCGTCAACGTACGTATGTGAGAGCACGACTCCTATGCCATAGGAGGAGGCATCTGTAGCTAGAACCAACGGTAAATCTTCCTGATAATGTGCTAATTGCGCTGCATTGAGAATATGCGTTTTAAGAGCTATAAATGCTTGTTGTTGTGCTGTACCTGATGTGAATTTTACATTTTTTCGGCGCAGCATGTTGATGGGCGCGGATAATTGGGAAAAATTAGGTATTAAATTATGGTAATAGTTTACCTTACCCATGAATGCTTCTGTTTGCTTTAGATCTTTAGGCGGCTGCAGGTTTTTGACTGCTTTTAGTCCTGACTCATCTGGCAATATACCTTTTGCACTAATTTGACGCCCGAGATATTCGATTTTATCTCGCAGAAAGAAACATTTTTCTTGCTTGCACCTGCTACCATTTTGTTGCAAAATACGAAGTACTTGTTCTAGGCGGCTAATATGTTGTTGAAATGTAGGTGCGGAGATGATGATGTCATCGAGATAATTTCCGCAACCTTTTACGCCTTGAAGTAACTGCTCAAGATATCTTTGGAATATAGCTGGAGCGCTTGCAATCCCAAACGGTAAACGTTGGTATTGGAATAACCCAAGTGGAGTGTTAACAACCATTATTGTTTTTGCTTCATCGTCGAGTTCCATTTGTAAATACGCATCCTTAAGGTCGATTTTTGTAAAATGTTGACCGCAATTAATTTTATGGAAAAGACTTTCGCGTATAGGCAAAGGATATTGTTCAATGTCAATTTGCGCATTGACTGCTTGTTTAAAATCCCCACAAATTCTTATGAAACCATCAGCTTTTGGAGCTAGTACAATAGGCGAAGCCCATTGGGAAAACTTCACAGGTTTTCAAATACCTGCATTTGTCAATCGATCGACTTCTTTCTTGAAAAGTGTCATTTGCGAAAATGGAATTTGTCGGCTTTTGTAAAATTTCGGATTTGCATTTAGCTTTAAAAAATACTGACCTTAAAGTTTTTTATTGTGCCAAGAGCTGGTTCAAAAATATCACTATATTTCTTACACAGCTCGCTAATTCTGTGTGATTCACTTTCAGTAATGTTACAAATTTGCTGAATCTCAAACCCTAATTCTTTGAATAAATCGAAACCGAATAAATTGTTACAGTTTTCGACATCCACGACAACGATTACCACTTCCTTTTCTTTTCCGCCACATTTGATATCTACGCAAAGTTCACCAAGCACTGGAATTTCATTTTTGCCAAAACCAAATAAGATTTTTGTACAATTTCGCAACTTCGGGCAATTTAGAGTTTTGAATGTTCGCTTATTTATTAGAGAAACTGTTGCACCAGAATCCATTTGGAAAGACACAATTTTATTACAAATTTCCAAGTCAATGTAATTCTTATTGCTTTCAGTTTTTACAATACCTGTTAAACTGTTAATTGTTTCAACAGTACCAATGTTGTGACTTTACGGCGGTAATCTTT